GCACGTCCACCGGTGTCACTGCTGGGCTCAACACCGTCACGGCTTCCTCGTGGCTCTCGGGACCCAACCCGCGCCCCACATTCTGCACCGCGGCCCCTCCCCTGCTTGGCTCGGTACCCTACCTTCTCCAAATCACCTCCCCCTGTTGCCCCGGGTCCTTCCGTTCCCTTCTCGGGACCTGGACGCAGACTTGCTCTCCTCCACCCACGGGCTGCTCCCCCCCCACTCCCCACTCCCTCAGCTTGCCTCTCAGCTATGGCACCTTCCTCCGAGGCCATGCTCACTGCAGGCCGGGAGAGGCCTCGGCACCGGGTGGGTGTCCCGGCCCAGAATTCCACCTCCCTTCCTTGCTGACCACGGGCCCTGCCGGACACGCCACTCCATGGCGCCAGAGGCTCACCACCCTTGGTGACCAACCGCCCTGGGACAAACACAGGGGCACCCGGTTGAGAGAAGTTCCAGTGCCTGGTCCTGCCTGAATGCCCAGGAAAGCCAGTCAGCCTGCACACAGAGAAAACTGTCCCCAACTGAATCTGTCTAGGCCGAGGCTGAGGCGGTGGGGCCGTGAGCAGCCACAGTCGGATCTAGGCAGGTGCTATCGGGAAGATCTCAGCCATGCCCATGAGCTAAAGGGCTTCAAGGCCCCCACCCTGGGATTAGAACACCTGGGCTTCAGGGTTCGGACGGTTAAGCAGAACATTTAGTTCAGGCCTTCCACTAAGTTCAGACTAAGATCTCGCTCTCTGTGCTGATAGGCCTGGAGCCTGGCTTGATTTGATTTCTAGGCCTTTCTCTGCTCCCGGCCAGGGCTTCATACTCTGTCTCAAAATAAACAAACATTTTTTTTTACTTTTTTTAACATTTATTTATTTTTTGGGACAGAGAGAGACAGAGCATGAACGGGAGGGGCAGAGAGAGAGAGGGAGACACAGAATCGAAATAGGCTCCAGGCTCTGAGCCAGCCCAGAGCCCTGAATGGGCTCAACTCCCACCATGGAGATCGACTCTGGCTGGTCGGATATGAATCACTGCCACCCAGGCGCCCCTTTAAACAAACATTTTAAAAAAAACTGTTAAGCGGTAGAAATACCTGATTTTATTGCCTGCCCTGTTCTTCTGGTTTGATAAGGGTGAGGTCAGCACATGCACACCTGTACATTCACAAATATGCACATAAAACCACAGAATACCCGCTTTCCTTGACGCCGATCGTGCTAGATACCACAAACGCACACGCCAAAATGTTGATAGTGCTGCCTGGTTCCCGGTGACAGCTCCAGCTTCGAGATGCAGAGACAGAAACACAAGCACACACATGCCACCCCAGGCTGGACCTCCAGCTGTGCAGGCCAGGTGTGACCCGAGCTGAGCGACTCGCCCAGCCCCTGCCAGTGTGTACCCCATATTGAAGGCTGGGCCGGAAGCAGAGCGGATGGGCTGCTGTGAGGAGTTTGTGCCAGTGCCAACATGCACGGGACTGGGGAGGGGCCTGCAAATCAGGCGGAAGAAACTTCCGGTCACTGGGTGACCCCGCAGAGCAGTTACCTACCCAGCCCCCCACCCCACCCCACCCCCACCCAGTCCACCCATTTATCAAAGCTGTTGTAGGGGAAAAACTCTTTCCGACCGAGCCAGATTGGGGGCTCCATCAGAGCATGAAAGCCTGTACCTTCACCACACACCCTACCCCTCGAGCACACGGTGCCACTGTCCCTGAAGGCGGAGCCCGCTAGTGGATGCCAGCCCTTCAGGGAGCTATCCCGGCGCGCCCTGAACCTCTGCCCGAGGGGGAGTGGAGGGTCTCTCCTGGTCACACACGCCCACGGTGATGGCGGGTGAGAAGGCCAGGGAGACATCTTTCCCAAGCCTTGGTGGGTTCAGCCATTTGTTAGGGGGCTCGCCAGGGGCCGGGGATCCAGATGAGGCAGCAAATCTGGGGTCCCCCAGGGCTCATATGCAGGGAGGTGGGCCAGCAGGCAGGCAGGTACCCACAGCAAGAGGGGTCATTTTGGGGCCAGTGCAGAGGAAACACGGCACAAAAGGGGGACGGGTCAGGGATCAAGTGACCCCAACACGGTGTTCCGACATCTCTAGGATCGTCTGCACAGGCCAGGAGGCGGGGGTGGGCACGGTGTGAGTGGGAAGGGGCCGTCCCCCTACAGAAGGTTCCCGGAGGTGGGAAGACAGACCCGGAGAACGGACAGCTGCCCGGGGGCCCGCAGGCCGTGGGAACCCCCCACCCCCACCCCAGCCAGGCCACGCTGCAGGCCCCGTGCTTCTGGAGGGGTGGGAACAAGCACGGTGGGGATCAAGGAGGAGGAGGGAGGGGCCGCTGGCTGGCGGGTGGCAAAGGCAGAGGCAGCTGGCCGGCAGGTGCTCGCAGGCCGACGCCCAGGCCAAGGCACCTCAGGGGAGGGTTGGGCCCCACGGGCGCTCGATGGCTGTCGTTCAGACCATCTGTCTCTCGTTAATGAAGCTGTCCAGCGCGGCTTGTTAATGAGGACGCGTGGGCTCAGCCAGCCTGGGGGGTCCTGCTGGAACTCAAAGGGCACAGCAGGTAAGCTCGCTCTCACCACTCCTCAGGCACAGTCGGTCTGAAGGGTCGGGCCCGAGTCCTGGGAGGGAGGGGGCCGGCAGGCCGGTCCCACAGGGAGGATGCCCCAGCCTGGGGTCAGTCAACCGCCAGGGCTCCCGACGGCCCACACCGCCTGGGGACCGCTTGCCGTCTTCCTCAGCGGCGGGACCCGGCCAGGCGGGCAAAGTGAGGCAGGCAGGACGAGGCCCCAGACGTGCCGGGTGGAAACGTGAGGTTCCGTGGTCAGGGGCGTTAAGGCTGCACATGGAATTAGGCTTTGCTCATCAGTAGATGTTACAATAGGGGGATTATCCTGGATTATTTGAGTGGAGCCAACATATCTCAGAGGTCTCCTGTGTGGCAGAGGGAGGCAGGAGCCGCCACAGGCTCTGGGGACGGAGGGATGAGCCACCGGCCAAGGACAAGGGCGCCTCTGGCGGTTGGAAAAGGCAAGGAAGGGAGTCTCTCCTGGAGCCTCCAGAAGGAACGCAGCCTGCCTGCACCTTGACTTTCCCTCAGTGACACCTGCGTCGGGCTTCTGACCTCCAGAACCGTAATACGTTTGTGTTTTAAGCCACTGGCTTTGTGGTAATTTGTTACAGCAGCAACAGGAAACGAATAGGAAAAAGGTAACAGGTCCTGTTTAAAATGCTCAGACCTCCAGACTCCCCTGCAGCGAGGGGTGGCCGTGTATGGCCCACCTCTGGTCTCTCAGGCACAAGCAGATGTGCAAAGGGTGGGTTTTCCAGAAAACCCACCGTTTGGCCGATTGAAAGGGGACAGGCTTGGGGGGGGGTGGTGGTTTCTGCTCCTCACCCAGCCCTCCCGTCACTTCCTCCTTCCTGCCTGGAACACGATGGGAGCTGGGAGGCAGGCGGAGACGGAGAGCGGGCAGGGCACAGACGGGCGCTGGCCATCCGGCAGCTACCGCACGGCCCCGGGCACACACCTGCCTCCAGCTTCCCGGGACAGGAGAAAAGGTAGCCCCGCTGGGCTGAGCCCAGGTTCGGTGACACGCGGCCAGACCCACAGCTCCTGCAATGACAAGGGCTGTTGTCCAGACACCTGGCTTCCTGGAACCGTGGGGGAGTCCAGGGTAAGGACAGTGCCCTCCTCTGGGGTGCCGGCTCCACACAGAGAAGTCCTCCCTGGCCATCTGGTCGCCCCGGACGGGTGCTAAATACCAGGGGCCCGGGAAGGCTCCAACCACGTGGCCAAACGTCTCCCCCAAGGCAGGGCTCCCGGCTGGTTCCGCGGCACAGGCAGCATCGGGACCTCGGATCCAGTCACCCCCACCAGAGAAAACGTACCGGCCCGCCGCACGTGAACAGATGTGTGCACGCATGTGTATATGCGCGTGTGTGCATGTGTTTATTGTATAAATTCTTCATGGCGCTTTTTCCCCATGTTTTTGTCATCCAGAAGAAAAGGGATTCGAGAAAGGTTTTCGTTGCGCTCAGTTTTCACGAGTACAGAAACAAACATTAGGATTACAGGAATCAACACGCTGAACCCAAAGTGCGTACCAGCCACCCGGCTGCAGCACCCGGGACTCGATTCACAAGTGCGGGTATCACAGCTGCGACTTGAGACTCCCAGGGCTTCGGGTGGAGGGCACGGCGAGGCCGTGTCCCCTGAGGCCAGGCAGCTCCGTCTGGGGAGGACCCCGTGACGGCCGCCCGGGCGGCCCGCCAACTCCCCGAGAGCACCGCCACCCCACAGGGCGCACGGCCAGTTCCGCGAACGCCCCCGCACGGCAGACAACGGACGTTAAAACGTTCTGAAACCATTCAAAGTCCACGAGATAAAGGGACCCCGTTAAAGCACAAAACCCCCGTGTCCTCCAGAGGGAGCTTCCACCTGCGGGTCAGAGCACACGGCCCCGCCAGGAACCGCAGGGACCCGGTGCGTTGCACACAGACACAGACACGCAGGGGTGGTCGGCCGCAGGGGGCAGTTCACGGGTGACAGGAGACGGACGGGCCCTGAGCCAGAACACACAGTTTCACACGTTAAGAGAACAAAAGAGAGCAAAAGAAAGCAACAGGTGCAAGGCTGCAGCGGGGGTGTGCCGTCGCCAGGAAGCCAGCCGGTGCCCGGAGCGTGGCCGAGGCCGAGGCCGTCGGCCATGACCGCCCCCACACGGGCGAGCCCCGGCGCCTGGCAGCGCGTGCCAGGGCACAGGTGGGAAGACACACACACCCTCGAAGCCTTGCCACACACACAAGCAAACGCTCCTCCCTCTCAGCCTCTGGTCCGGGGAGACTCGGGCCCCCGCCCGATGCAGCTGCAGATCAGAGACGATCTTCCCCAAGCCCGCAGACGCTTGCCTTCCCAAGGGCTGTACGTATCTAAGCGCTTTCTGGAAGCCACGGAGGTCACAGCACAGACACGTGTGGCCGAGTGTGGTGCGAGCCGGTCCCACTCAGAAGTCCCGCAGCTCGGGGATGTCCCTGTACAAGTCCAGGGTGTCGGGGTTCGAGAAGGCCCCTCGGTGCTCCACGGCCTTTCCAGCAATGACCTGCTTCACCGCCACTTCCACCTTCTTGCCGTTGAGGGTGTACTGCCAGGGCGGGCAGAGAAAACAGACAGAAAGGGACCTGAGCCCTCAGGGGAAAAGACCCCTCGGGCTCCGACGTCTGGCTGTCCCGACCAAGACCGAATGGCCTCCACCTGCAGCCAGACCGAGGGCGACCCGGCAGCCGGGCAGGCGTGCCCAGGAAGGCGCCATCCACCACGGCCGGCGTCTGGGGGGCTGAGGGCCGATCCCTCAACCCGGGTCTGTCCCCTCGGGCGTGAAGTCGGGGGTGCCAGCGCCCCTCCCCGCGCTGCGGGTGGGGTTCTCGGCGCTCGCCGCTAGACTATTTCTACTTGGTTACTTTTCCTGACGTCACGACACCTCCCTGTGTCGTCCGACCCAGCCGTCACTTCCGTGCAAGCGGAGGGCGGCTCCCTGCCCCTCGTCACCGATCCCCTCGCCAGGGAGCTCGTCCGGGAGCCTCCCGACCCCTCCCCAGAGCCCTCGTCTGGGCCAGCCGGGGCACTACATTCCTCGCAGTCAGAAGCCTCCCAAACGTCCAAAGCTCCCTCTCGAATCCACGCCTCGTGGGCCCGGCCCGTGGTCCCAACAGGCTTCTGGTGGCAGTGCGGGTGTCAGGCCGGGAGACGGCAGGACAGAGCCCGTGAGTAACACCGCCGGCGCCCTCGACTCTCCTCCACGGGCACCACTTTTTTAAACCTGAGATGTAATTAAAATTCATCCACTTGAAAGACTCAGGCGACGTGTGAACTAATTAAGGGTCTAAGCGCTGGCTTCCGGGGGACTGCCTGTCACTTGGGCGTCAGCCCCGCTCGCCCCGAAAAGCAGGAGTCTCACCTGCTTCGTGTGCGTGTAAGCTTTCTATGACAGGTCCAAGAACGACTCGGGGGAGCTAATAATTTATACCCTCCGTCAGCTGACAAAACAAAGAAGGCCTCGTTTCGGAAAAATCCCGCTACTGTGTCCTCTGGCGAGAAGGGTGGCAGGGAGGCAGAAACTGCCCAGCCCCAGCTCGGGCCTCCCCGAGAGATAACCGCCATCTGCCTCCCATCGGGACGGGCCAGGCTTCTCCACCGAGAGCGGCCGCCTGGCACCTGCCAGCCTCGCCGTGCCCCCAGGGCCCCGAGTCTCCTTGGCTGGGCCACCCCTCCCCAGCTCAGCAACGCACAGGGCCAACCCGGTCCGTCAGGGCAGAGCACGAGGACCGGAAAACACGGGGCCTTGAAAAACCTCGAGGAACCCTTGCAATGACTCCCCAGCCCAACCAGAGGGGACAGCACCTGGGGAGAGCGAGCAGAGACAGAGCTGGGCTGACAGGGACCCGGGCGCCAGGCTGAGGACAAAAGACGGTCACCACGACCCGTGTCTCCACTGAATCCTCGTGCATGGACAGGCTGGGGAATAACCCTCCCGACAGCAAAGGACACACTTTCCGTCTCGACAAGAGAAAGCCAAGGGGAAGATCAAACTCTAGTCACTCAGAAAGTGCTGGAAGCACACAGAACCGGTTCACCGAAGGAAAGCCTTAGGCCCTCATCGGGAGAAGGCAGTAAGTGTCCCTCCCTCCCTGAGAGAGCCACCGTCTCCGGAGTCATCAGGAGTCACAGACCGGGAGAGACAGACAGAACTCCCGAGCTGTGCCTTAACCAAAATGTGACAGAACTGCACGGACGGTGTAGCAAGTCCCAGCCCTGCCCGCACTCCACGTATGCATCCCTGCTCGGGGCAACATCAGGGCCCTGCTTCAGCTGCCCCC